CTGTAGTTGCTGCCCCATCATCATCTCCACAATTCCCCAGAAAAGAAGAGACGGGAGATGGGTCATAAATTGTCCAAAATGCCTGGATCAAGAAATACTCTTGAGGAGGAAATCCCCTTCAAAGCTAGCATCACCACCTCCTCTCTCAAAGAAGCATTTATTACTTCTTGATATAGCTCTTTGTCTCTTCTTTGGCAGCTCAAGTGAGTCAAAAGCAGTAAGGAACCAGTCCACATGTGATAAAGCTTTTCCCATAGAGAACCTTGCTCACTTTCTCAGTCCACAGATTCCCAGATGACCTTGCAAGTTTCAACCCACCAATTCATTGATCTCTGGCCAGTTGACAGTTGACTCTGAACAAATATGACTGATTTTGTCTGCAAAACTCACAAAACTTCACCTAAAGATAGTTCTTCTGATTCAGTTGTAGGTAACCTTTAACAGTACCACTGGATAATTTCTGTAGATAAGGGCAGAAAATTATAGACATTCCACTATCCTTATCTCTACAGCGTAGATCTGAATTTGGGCTTAATTGTATTTGCTCTTATATTGGGGATTGGAGTAAGAAATTTTGCTTCTCAAAATTAGGGCTGCCAAATCTCAGTTGGAAAAATCCAGATGATCATTAAATGCTAGCAAAGACTTAAGGGTTCTTTGCCTATGTTTGCTGTCATCAGATGCTTATCTGAATTTCAGATAAGGTAGCCTAGCTTAGTGCCACATCTAATTTTGTTTCTAGGGTCAAAACTGGCATCCTCTGGTTGTATGTAAGTTCATTTTCTTTAGATAAAGAAATTGAATGTCAGATTAATTAAGTTAATTATATTTATGCAATTAGTATTATGGCTACCATATACAGGCTTCAAAGATCCATACCTCTAGAGGACAGAGAAAAGACAGAGAAAAGTATAATAATTGTGTGGATTTTTGCCACCCTGATATAGTATGCCTAATTGATGTGCACATGTTTATTAGGAAAATAACAGCTGCAAGGAAGTCTGACTATTATTCAGTTCATGGTAGATGAGAAGCAAAACTTTAATTGTCTCCAGTCATGAACTCCACAAAATAACTCCCTGATATTCCATTTACCATGTACTGGTATTCCATACAGTATTCCATGTAGATTTCAAAAGAAGCCTTTATTGGCACCCAAACAATATTCCTTGGAACTATGGCAGAAAAAAACTTATACGATCCTGAGACTGCTCAAGCATCCAAGTGCTTGATTATGTTCACAGTATTATGGTTAGTCACACAGTCAGCCAGATGTTCAGACTGCATTTGGCATTTTTATCCACCTATCGAGTCCTTCCCAAGGACCTGGGATAGGCAGATGTTGTTGTTTGATGTTGTTAAAGCTAACATCACAGGATTTAAGCTGTTCCAAGTAAAGCTGCCTTTTGCAATTGACTGATGGTGATTTTGTCAGTGCCAGTGGTCTTCAAGCAATGCTCCAGATGCATTGCATTGATTGATTGATTGATTGATTGATTGATTGA